GACCACTTATCCTGGCCCGGTGAACACTTATTTTGGTGGGAAAGTGAACACTTATCCTGGCCCGGTGAACACTTATTTTGGCGGGAAATTGACCACTTATCCTGGCCCGGTGAACACTTATTTTGGTGGGAAATTGAACACTTATCCTGGCCCGGTGAACACTTATTTTGTTGGGAAATTGGCCACTTCGGTGAACACTTATTTTGGTGGGAAATTGACCACTTATCCTGGCCCGGTGAACACTTATTTTGGTGGGAAATTGAACACTTATCCTGGCCCGGTGAACACTTATGTGGTGGGAAATTGACCACTTATCCTGGCCCGGTGAACACTTATTTTGGTGGGAAATTGACCACTTATCCTGGCCCGGTGAACACTTATTTGGGTAGGAAATTGACCACTTATCCTGGCCCGGTGAACACTTATTTTGGTGGGAATTTGACCACTTATCCTGGCCCGGTGAACGCTGATTTTGGGTAGGAAATTGACCACTTACCCTGGGCCGGTGAACATTTATTTTGGTGGGAAATTGACCACTTATCCTGGCCCGGTGAACACTTCTTTTGGTGGGAAATTGACCACTTATCCTGGCCCGGTGAACACTTATTTTGGTGGGAAATTGAACACTTATCCTGGCCCGGTGAACACTTTTTTTGGTGGGAAATTGACCACTTATCCTGGCCCGGTGAACACTTATTTTGGCGGGAAATTGACCACTTATCCTGGCCCGGTGAACACTTATTTTGGTGGGAAATTGCCCACTTATCCTGGCCCGGTGAACACTTATTTTGGTGGGAAAGTGAACACTTATCCTGGCCCGGTGAACACTTATTTGGGTAGGAAATTGACCACTTATCCTGGCCCGGTGAACACTTATTTTGGTGGGAAATTGAACACTTTTCTTGGCCCGGTAAACACTTATCCTGGCCCGGTGAACGCTTATTTCGGCGGGCAACTGACCGCTTATCCTGGTTAGTTTCGTCCAGATTTAAATTATTTCAGTGTTCAGTTCGTCCGGATTTAAGTGTTCATTTGTCCAGATTTAAGTGTTCACGTTGTCCAGATTTAAGTGTTCAATTGTCCAGATTTAAGTGTTCTTTTTGTCCAGATTTAAGTGTTCATTTGTCCAGATTTAAGTGTTCATTTGTCCAGATTTAAGTGTTCATTTGTCCAGATTTAAGTGTTCATTTGTCCAGATTTAAGTGTTCACGTTGTCCAGATTTAAGTGTTCAATTGTCCAGATTTAAGTGTTCTTTTTGTCCAGATTTAAGTGTTCATTTGTCCAGATTTAAGTGTTCATTTGTCCAGATTTAAGTGTTCATTTGTCCAGATTTAAGTGTTCAATTGTCCAGATTTAAGTGTTCTTTTTGTCCAGATTTAAGTGTTCAATTGTCCAGATTTAAGTGTTCTTTTTGTCCAGATTTAAGTGTTCATTTGTCCAGATTTAAGTGTTCACTTGTCCAGATTTAAGTGTTCTTTTTGTCCAGATTTAAGCGTGCATTTGTACAGACTTAAGTGTTCATTTTGCTACCCAGAACCCCATAAAGAGTTACTGTTAGAGGAAGGGCCTAATAATTTGAAGGACATTCCTGAATTAAAGGGTTTTGGAGTCTCTGGGTAGATGTAGAATGTTGTAACATACTTTCCCCCCAACTACACGCTGATGGGGCAAACTTCCTGAAATCTTTCCCCGCTGTTGCTTGCTTATGACATCCAGAAATGGTTAACTTTCCGGTTCAACTGTAACCTGTGAAACACCAAGTAGACACCCAAACGCAACGACCCCCCCAAAAGGCTTCCCCCAAGTACTGCTGGCCGCGGAAACGGAACGCAACGACTTCTACAGGTGGGAGTAGCCTCCTCTGTGAGTTGGCGCGAGTACGAGCCAGGATTGTAGCGGACCGCTACCCTGCACCTGCCTCGTGAGTCCCGCCGGGGGCTCAGCTGCCTCTCAACCCGTGACAGGTGGCTGGCAGCGGACAATTTCTCTCTCTCTCGAGGTGCTCGATGTTGGCGACGGTGAGCGGCCGGAGAGAGTCCGGGAACTCCACGTCGGACCTGGCACGACGTCGACGTGGTCGCGCCATGCTTGCGAGCACAACATCGGACGGATCTGGACGACGCGCCGGTATTCCCTCTTGTGCCGGTCCAGCTCGGCGGGAGAGGCGCCCGGCCCCGGCCGCCGAGGGAGCATGGGGAAGCCGGCCCCCGTCACCGGATCTGCGTCGGAGAACATCTCTTGCGGCGTTGGTGTTCGTGCCCTGCGAGATGCTCCCGACGGAACTGACGGAGGCGGCGACGGGGCCGGCGCAGCCGGCATAGCCTTCACCTGGGGCTCGACGGTGCGCTGCTGCCGCGACTCCTCCGCAAACTGCCGACGGGGCTCCTCGGCGATGCGGGCCCGGTATAGTCGACGGGCTGGGGCACCGGCGGAGCTGTCGACACCGGCGGGGTAGACGGCGGAGCTGCCGGCACCACTGTCGCCGGGGTGATGCGATCCGGCAAAACCGTCGAATACCGCCGGTAGTAAGCGTCGGCCGTCGGGAAGTTGTGCTTGTACGCCAGCTTCGCGTCGGCGCGACACAAGAACCCGAGCTGGTCCCACATCTGCGGCGGACCACCCTTCGGCACCGACGGAGCCGGTCGGTCGGGCTTCTTTGGATACCCTCCCGACGGCATTCCCGCCGGCGGCAAGTCTGCCGGGGAAGGACGCCACGCCGGGCGCCCCTGCGTGCGCCGAGGGAGGCGCTTGCTGACGGTCGACAGGGGGCTCCGGGTGCGGATCCGCCGGCGACGGTGTAGCCACTCCCACTCCACTCGCCGAGCTCGACGGTAGTCCTCGCGCCGAGTCACCATACACGACGGGGCCAGGGGCCGCGCCGGGGCTGTTGATGGCATCGACGAGCGCACGCCTCTCCAACCCACTCCATTCGGAGAAGAGTTGGGAGAGGTCGTCGCCGGAGGCAACAGTCCGGCGGACCATGTCCAAGGCGGCCACGACGTCGGCGGACTGGTAAGTCATGGCGACGAGAGGATCTACCGGAAGCTGAACATCGTCGGGGGACGTGGAGCAGAAAGCGGCTGCAGCATCCACGTCGATTCGACGGTTGTCCCTGCGCACATGAATGTGCTACACAACAAGACCGCGACCCTCCTCAAAAGCTGTCATTGCGAGTATCTATGCCTAAGCCTGCATCCACAGAAACCCTGCAGCACATGTTCAGCGCAGCATGTCCAGACATGCTCTGGCCAGATGCTCCGAACCCAATCGGGCAAAGAGAAAAAAAGAGCATGCGGCCGGGCAGACTCTAGGTCCCTGGTTCTCTAAACTCCAAACCTCACTTAGGGATGAAGGAGAAGCTTTAGGTGGCAAGGAGAACGTGATAGAACGGCATTAATTTTGGGATGCTCGGTGCACTTTCACGTGCTCGTCTCTCCAGGAATTGCCATGGCCAAAAAAATCTACCAAGCAACCCTGGCCTTCAGTTGCCGTTGCTTTGGTCATGTGGATTCCCACGAGTTCACCTGGCCGAACATGTTGGCAAATCCTTGCCGCATTGCTGTTTGTATGTTGGTTGCTGACATGCACGTCCCCGTTTTGGAGGTGTCAGACTTTTGCCCCGCCGAGCTTTCGCACTCGGCAGCACGTGCTTTGTGCAAAGTAATCTTTATGAGTTTGGAAGCTTTGTGATCTTCACGCCCGGCTCATGCTTTCTTGCGAGCCTTGCTTGTACCAGCCTAGTACTAGTTTGCACAATGGGAGCCTATGCCGAGGTCGAAGGCCTCGACAAGAGAAGAGAACTCAACGACTGCAGGACGGTGGTGATAACAGCATGCCGAGGTCGGAAGTCGCTTCAGTCCGAATTCCTGATACTCTATCTCCCCTCTGGAGTCTCAAGTCTCAGACCCTTTGCCGATGCCTGCCTTCGTGCCGCCGGCGGACCCTTGTCTGCACTGCCTCAGGTACTGCGAAGTTTGCTGGCATGGGCGGCTTCTGTGCATAGTCTGTTTCGATAAAGCGATGAATGAACGACTGCAAAACCTCGAAGCTTCAGCCTTTCAGGAACTCAACAGGGCCCTGCCTTGCAATAGCATGTTTAATTCTGGAAGCCATGGAATGGCAGGTTTTCCATGGGTGATCATAGAAATTATCGCCTTGTTATGATAGTCACCCGACCACGCGTGGTGTGACATTGGATGAACACGATTTCTGCCGTTGTCGAGAAACCCTGACTTCTCACCATATTTGACTGCAGCATCAACTTCTGATAGGTGCAGAAAACCGCAGCATTGCAGTTGGGCAAACTACCGTGTAACGTGAGGCCTTAAGTGCCCTAAACTACAGGAACTCTGGCACAATCTTTCTTACGGACAGCAGTAGCAGTAGGAGTAGGAGTAGGAGTAGCGGCAGCAATAGGAGTAGGAGTAGGAGGGGAAGGAGTAGTAGAAGCAGTCGTAGGAGTAGTCGTAGTAGTGGTCGTCGTCGTCGCGGTCGCAGTAGTGGAAGTAGTAGTCGTCGTAGCGGCAGTAGCAACAGCAGTAGCAGTAGAAGTCGTCGTCGTAGTACTGGTAGTGGTAGTAGCAGTAGCAGCAAGAACAGGAGCAGGAGCGGGAACTGTAGACGTAGTCGCAACATCTGCTGCTTTTGTGCAGTAGAAGCTGCTAGCATCGCAAAGCTCGTGTTAGGACTCAATCAGAGTCTGAAAAGTTTCCCGGCCTCTGGTTCCGCATCGACGCAAGGAAGGCTTCGACAGTGGGCACTACTGTGTTGTGCATGACCCGATTCACAAAAAGCCTGCATCCTAGTACACCAACGTGGCGACCTGCTTCAGGTGGCATTGTCAAGCAAGATCTCCACGTCACTGAACACGCTACTCACCTTGTTCTCCGCATCATGGCAAGCTCCCGGCAAGTCAATAGGGTGAAGCCCCCGCGTCCTAAACAAAGCAGGTGGAGGGAAAACCAGAAATGATTGAAGTGACGAGCAGCTGCCAAGGCTCTCATCCTCGAAACTTCCAGTGGGTTGCAGCCTGGGTTCGAGTCCGGGTCGAACCATGCTGAGTCTGAGATTTGGACTACACAGTGCAAACTGGCATCTGCCATGAACTGTGCTCTCCACTGTTTCCCCATCAATGAGACGAGGGGCTCCGCAAGCACCGAGAAGGATGGACAGCGAGGCGACACTCCAGGAGAAGACCTCGACCGTGGGGCTGCATACTGCTTGTGCGTCGCTTATGACTGCTAAAGAGCCCGTTTGGACTTCCTATCGAGTCTTCCGACACCAGGTCGCGAACCCCACGACTGCTGAAATGGCCTATGGCTTGCTTGGCATCGCGAGCGGCTTTCAAAGAGCCTGTGGGTGTCTTCGTGAGAAACTCTCCGAATGTATTCTTCACCTTTGTACAGTACACACATAGCAACAAGGAGGGAAGCGGGGTCAGACCAAAGCCGTCTTCAGTGACCTGACCTCAAGAAACGAGGTTGGGTCCAAGAAACTCCAGCTGTCGTAGCAGAGTCAGCTGCAATGGCCTGCGGTGCCCCACAAAAAAAGCTGAAAGGTCAAATCCGGTGGCATTGATGAAACTGGCCGTCGTATTCTTGTCTCGACTGTAACCCTTCCTATGACACAGGATGATCCTGCAACAGCGCGTGTGGACGAGATACATGTGTAAACCAGGGCCTCATCTTGTCGAATCATGGGCAAGAAAGCAACAGAAGCTGAGCAGGACACCGATTCCAACGCAGCCAACAAATCCGAGGCTCCTGGGATGCAGACCCCTTAGGTAAAGGCAATCGATGGCATCGTGGTCCGAAATCTGCTGGCATTTTTTGCCGACTTACTTTTTGAATCTTCGAGCCGACATCCTCTCAGTCCGAAACGGTGAATCTCAGAAAGCTCGCCCGCACAGCGGGACACAAGTGGCCCACTTTCCAAACCGACTGTGTAGCGTCGTCAGAAAAAGGAGCTTGTCGCGCCGACACCTCACCCAAGCAAAACAGGACAAGTGCGTTGTGCAATTTTAGAACCGGTTGCAATCAAAGCACTCAGTAAAATTCCGAAAACAGCGAGCAAATGGGTGGCCCATCCCAGGCAGCGCTCAGCAGCTTCGCAGCATTCTATCCCGGCTGCCATTTTCAGCCGCGCGATTTGAAAAAGCACCATGCCTGGCGGGGAATTGGTTTTTCCAAAAGCGTAACTGCCACGTTCACGCTTTTCAAGGCACAGCCGGACGAACATGTCGCGATGCAAAATGGGTCATACTCCCACTTGGTACTTTGTCAATCTCAACGCCGCGCACATTCGCGGTGTAGGCCGGCACACAGCATGCAGATGCGAGGACTAATCACTTTTCCGCTAAGCCGTAGGCTTGGTCCAAGGGGCCCCTGCGGTCAAGGGGTGCTGTCAAAACACTGTACCAAACCTGCATACACACACATGGGTCCGTTTCAGACCCGTGACGCTAACAACGTCAGTGTGGTGAATCTTGCGTCCTAGGATTGACGTCTCTGATCGTCGTCCGTGACCTTCTTCGCCGACCGTCTTCGAAGCTGCTTTGCAAGCTTCTTCACTACACTTTCGTGTGGCTGCTCCACGTCGAGCGTGTTAGTCTTCAAGGTCTTTACAGTTTTGGCAAGCTCCATAGTCATTGATGACGTCAGTATCAATCCATCTGACGATGTCAGTCAACTGATCATCCGCTGGCTTGTAGTCGTTGTAGAAAATCACCAGCTTTCTCTCCGGCGTTGCGCCAGAACTCTTGGCGAAGAGACGCAACCTCAATGCTCAATCTGATGTCCGATCTGCTTTACAAACTTGGCCGACGTAGCCTCCCACCTTTTCATATCGAGGCATCCGAAGATGTCGGTGATAGCTGCTCAAAGCACGTCACCGTCCTCCACACCTGCCTGAAGCGCATAGGCCTCTGCCTGTATGGTGGAGCGACAAACCCTTCGAACAAGGTTGCTCGCCCACACGATGGGATGAATGCAAGCTCTGTCCCATTCCACGGGGCGCCATCCGTAAGGAAGACCATCTTAGCTCCCTGGCTCCGGTGTCTTGCCACAGACGTCATTTCACTTGCGTTCATCTCTTCGGACTCACTCGCGTGCCAGGCGTCCGTGACCACCAGGCTCATCAAAGCTCTTGGGGTCTTCCAGTCCAACAGACCAGACTTGAACACAAGTCTTCTGTCGTGTGCCAATAGCGTACTCAGCCGCTTTGTTGGCATTCTTGACGTCCGCAACGGTTCCACTGCCAGAGGCTGACTGGATCCTGGATATTCTGTGGCTCAGGTCCGGTCTGCACTGTCCGCAAACCCAAGCCAAAGAACCAGCGGCGCTCTTCATCTGTGCATTGTCAGAGTCCGTTAATGGATCTGCCGGGTGTCTCCTTTTTGTCCACATGGATCTTTGTGACGTCCCTCGTCGTTTCACTGCAGGTTACGTGGATATTGAAATCCTCATCTCGAACGATCCCGCAAGTTTTGAAGCTCCCGGTTTCCACCTTTCCAATCCTTTCCACACTTGAATGTCTCAATGAAATCATTCATGATCCAATCGCAAGACGGATCACATGCCCATAGTAGATCGTCTACGTGAGACGTAAAAAACTAGTGTACAACCCCTTCGGCATCCGTTTAACTGTACCGAGCGCGGTAGATGCGGCTCTCCCGCAGTCCCTTACCTTAATATAGTTCCTGAGTCGCTTCCAGAACCTTCGACCACCGTCGGTTCTGCCGTAGATGTGTGCACTCGCCAGCATATGCTGGTGGGGCTTGAGCCCAAGTAATCCACTCTTGGGCTGGGCTTGTAGAAGTACTCTATCTATCTCTTCGCCTTGAAAGTCGGCGTTTGTCACGTCGAGTGATTTTATCCTACACTTCCTAGAAGCCGCGAAAGAAAACACTAAGTTCCGAGCTTCCATGTTAGCGGTAGGACTATCACTTCTAGAATCTTCTAGCGTCACTAACTCAAGATCCTTCTAACAAGGCTCAACCGTTGGATCAAGAAGTCTCTTGTTGTGGTTCTTGTCTAGCTTTACGAACTGTGTGGGTATAACCTGATGTCCTTCACGGATCAAGTTTTTTTTACTGATCGTCATCTATGATGATCGCTGCACTGAAGTCCTTCCACTTCGCCCATTCCTTGTCTCTGCTCTTGTCCAACTCCTTCTGGACATCCTCTGGGCACTTGTGGTACATGAAAACCTTACCATGCTTCTCCTTCTGTTTCTTCGACGTAAAGTTCTTGCGGCGCTTGTGCCACTGTGCCACTTGCTTGTCGTCTTCAACGCGGTCTGCAAAGAAAACCCTTACAGGCCTCGTATTCCTTTTCCCCAGGGAGTGCGTTCGAAACGGCCTCTTTCCATGCACAAGCGCAGCAAAAGGATGTGCACAAAGGTCAGAAGATTTGCAGGCCAGAAGACCATCCACGGACACAAAGTCAGCAGAAGAACCAGGAAGGCGGGATGCCGGCCGAAGCACGCTTTCACAGCCAACATTGAGAGAAGCAGGGCGCAAATCTAGCCCAGAAGAAAACAGTGCGTACACTAGCTAGCGTATCCTCCCGCCACCTCCCACTACACCTCCTGGGAGTTCGCAGCACAGCCTAGCTTTAGCTCACCGGCTTCAGACAGTAGCACGGACAACACGAACTCTAGTTGTGGGGAAACAGAGAGGAGCTACAGGATATCACCATGGCCCTCTTTGAGCGCTACAAAGAGTACCTCCTCGGAGATTGTTGCTATGGGCTCCGCTCCAGCGAGGACTCGGGCTCGCTAGTGCCCCTGTGGCACCTGGTGCTCAACTACGAGCACGCTATCCGCAAGCACGCGTACAAGGTTATGGCCAGGGCAGGCAATTCCTTTGGTGCCGCGCTAGTCCTCGCCTACAAGGACGCTAGCATCAAGGAGCGCAACTTCACGACGCCGCTGGCCCTGCACGCTAAGCGGCCGCAGCCTTGGAACTGGAAAGACGAGCGGCCAGCTAAGGTGTCCAAGGGCAAAGGCACGGGCAAGGAAGGGGGGCAAGGATGGGCCCCCGAAGGGGGGCAAGGCTAAGAAAAGCGGCTGGGGGCCGATCGCACCTCAGACGGGAAGCCCATTTGCTTCCGCAGTGCTAAGGGATCGATGCAAGAATGGCTCCAGGTGCCATTTCGCACATGTGTGCTCGCTATGCTTCCATAGAAGCACACCGCTACGCAGTGCCCCAGCAAGAAGCAGGACGAGGCCGCTAAGGACAAGCAGGCAGCCAACTGACCCGCTACACCAGCGGAGCCTTTGACGCCACCGGCGCCGTCGCTGGCTATGCCTGCGAAACCTTCGCAACCTAGGCCTCTAAAGGTGTTCTACCTCTTTTCTGGCGTGGCCCGCAAGCTAGACCTGGCTACATGCTTGCACCAATTGTGGGCGCTGACCATGGGCTAGATTTCAAAGTGGAATGTGTCGACGTGGCGCGCCACGCTAAGTATGATCTTAGCTTGACACCGATTCGGCAAGGCTATCTGCAAAGAATTGCTACCAAAGAGTTCGACGCTATTGTTCTTTCGCCGCCCTGCGCTACCTTCTCTCGCGCCCCGCTGGAAACGCAACTGCTGAGACCGCGCTATTTTGGGCAACGTCTTTGCCGACTTCTGCTACCCTGGTGGCCGATGGAGCAGCCACTTTTCTCGCTGTGGAGCAACCCGATCGAGGACCTTGGTGCGGGTTCTAATAGCTTCCTGTTGCGCTCCGGGCCTTAGCGGCGACAGGGGCACTGGAGTTGGTGCCTTCTCTTCTATAGCAGGGGGTAGGGCAGGCATGAGGGCCCGCCAGGTGAGGTCGTCGCTATAGTAGCCGTGCGCTCTTCTGTACACACCGCCTCCTGACGTGCTTCCTGTAGCCAGCAGTAGACAGCATCCCATAGCCAGTCCTGGTAAGGAATCCCTAGCTCTTGTGCCAGCTGTTTAGCTACGTCCTGCGATTCCTCCAGCTCCAGCACAGATAGCTCTAAGATCACAAGCCCTTGGCTTAGCAAGTGCCGGTATAGGCGGTCTGTAGGCCTTGTCCATTCTCCCTCTTCGGACAGCTGCACGGGTGGGACCGAGAGAATTCTTGTCGAAAGGCGCTATCCAAATTTTGGATAGGCTCCCTCCTTCTTTAAGAGCAAGGCGCTATCCAAATTTTGGATAGGCTCCCTCCTCCCTTAAGAGCAAAGCGCTATCCAAATCTTGGATAGGCTCCCTCCTCCCTTAAGAGCAAGGGGCTATCCAGATTTTGGATAGGCTCCCTCCTGCCCTAAGAGCAAGGCGCTATCCAGATTTTGGATAGGCTCCCTCCTCCCTTAAGAGCAAGGCGCTATCCAAATTTTGGATAGGCTCCCTCCTCCCTTAAGAGCAAGGCGCTATCCAAATTTTGGATAGGCTCCCTCCTCTCTTGAGAGCAAGGCGCTGTCCAAATTTTGGATAGGCTCGCTCCTTCCCGAGCAAGGCGCTATCCAAATTTTGGATAGCCTCCCTGCTCCCTTAAGAGCAAGGCGCTATCCAAATTTTGGATAGGCTCCCTCCTCCCTTAAGAGCAAGGCGCTATCCAAATTTTGGATAGGCTCCCTCCTCCCTTAAGAGCAAGGCGCTATCCAAATTTTGGATAGGCTCCCTCCTCTCTTGAGAGCAAGGCGCTGTCCAAATTTTGGATAGGCTCGCTCCTTCCCGAGCAAGGCGCTATCCAAATTTTGGATAGCCTCCCTGCTCCCTTAAGAGCAAGGCGCTATCCAAATTTTGGATAGGCTCCCTCCTCCCTTAAGAGCAAGGCGCTATCCAAATTTTGGATAGGCTCCCTCCTCCCTTAAGCGCAAGGCGCTATCCAAATTTTGGATAGGCTCCCTCCTCCCTTAAGAGCAAGGCGCTATCCAAATCTTGGATAGGCTCCCTCCTCCCTTCAGAGCAAGGGGCTATCCAAATTTTGGATAGGCTCCCTTCTGCCCTAAGAGCAAGGCGCTATCCAGATTTTGGATAGGCTCCCTCCTCCCTTAAGAGCAAGGCGCTATCCAAATTTTGGATAGGCTCCCTCCTCCCTTAAGAGCAAGGCGCTATCCAAATTTTGGATAGGCTCAAGAGCAAGGCGCTATCCAAATTTTGGATAGGCTCAATCAGATCGTCCGCACCCGCGCCTTGGCCTTGAAGAAGCACCTACTTTGGAATGAAGAGACAGGAAGACAGAGGAGGATGCCAGCAGCGCGTCGCATTGCGGACCAAATTGCGGAGCACAGCGCGTGCCCAATGACCCGCAGTCCAGGCTCTTTGGGCCCGAAAGCTAGAATCAGACAGGGCACTTCCCAAAGAACGCGCAGCAGAGTCTCAGCAGAGGATGCTGGCGGGAATGAAGCAAGCAAAGCAGCTCGACTCGAGGAGCCACTCAGAGGGACGAAGGTCCGGGCCCGGAGGCCTGCAAGGGGTACAAACAGGGAAGGGCTGATTCAGGCTTGCTTATTTGCACAGGGTTTTCGGTCTCAGACGAGGATCCTCCAGCGCGGCGGCTGGGCAAAGCAGGCGCGCTAGGTATCCTACAACCGCTGGCAAACCGAAGAGGGAAGTTAGGAAACTGAGGACCTATCATTCGAGAAAACACACGAGCGTTGCACCAAAGGCGGGGAATTGAGCGGCTGCTCGGGATCGGACTCCTCGCAGTTGACAAACACAAAGGAGTCTTGGCTGCCCGCAGCGAGGAAGCTTTGGAATCACGAGGGCTGCTTGGGGCCCGAAGGGCAGGACCTAACCCTAACGCTAGGGGAGATATCAAGCACTCTTCTCTCTCCCACGCATGTACCCCTGCAGCCTACGCCTGATGGCCGGAGAGAAGCCTCTGGCACGGAAGAGAAATGGACCACACCTGGATATGGAAGCAACCTGAAGGCAAGGTAAAGACCAAGCAAGGAGGCAAGAATCCAAGGAAAAAAGCAGAACTGCCAAGGTCAGTTCCCCTGCAATGCACCGGACACCCTAAACCCCACCAATTAGAACTAAAGCCTTGATGCAAGAATCTCACACCTCCAAGCGTGACCTCAAACATGCTTGAGCACCGTCAAAGGCGGTTGCTTCGTTCCTACATGTCAGTACATCGCTGACAGTGATGTTTTTCTAAGCCGGGATCGTGCTCTGTAAACGCCTGGCAGCGCTGAGACGTGCCGTGACTTGTAACATGCGAGATGCAAAAGCAGATGCTGGGAATACCAGGGAACGAAAATGGAGATTGACTGCAGGCGAATGAAGCTGCAGCCGGGCGCAGAAATGAACCGAGTTGCCTGAGGCAGCTCGAGCCCATCTTGAAAAACATCATTGCGGGACACAGGCCCCGACTGCAGTTTTGAACAGGCCAATGCATCGGCAGACTTCCACGTCCCTCACTCGGGCCAAGTGTTGTGTTGTGCAATAGAAGGAAAGTGATCAACAACGATGAAATCGGCGATTCCAGCCGCGACGAGAAAACCAAGCAACAAAAACTGACAGCACAACTGCAAACAAAGTACCCTGGCACTACACATCACTGCGCCCTTCTGAGATTCTGAATCAGCAACTAGGCTTCCCGAAACAACCGGCCCCACACCATTCTTTGAACACTGGCGATGTGGTTCAAGCCTCGTTGCAAAATTCAACCACCCTCTGTTCTTAACGTCTCGCTGAACGACGGAGAATCATGCGTTGCCAAGCACTGTCCCGTGAAAATTGACAGCATGTGCAAAGGTGTTTGTTTGGCGCAGGAGCATTCGTCCGCATGCGGTAAACTTGTCATGCCTGTGTGCCACAAGATGTGTGCTCTTCGTGCTGGACTTGTAAGCACATGATTTAGATGATAAACCTCCGTGTGCCGCTCTGCTCCCAACAGCGATAGACCATGCCTCGAACAAGCAGTGGCTCTGAGTCAAGCTGCAAGAGAGAGCAGTAAGTCTTACAAGCACCGTCGACATCCTGCACCGTTCCGACTCCGTGTTGCTTCAGGTATGCCACACTGAAGTTGGCTCGAGTGCTTCCGCTGGTGCTTGCCAAGCTTGCCCACTGGTAAGCCAAAGTCGTCTCATCGATTGACATGTAAGCATCAGCTACATCAAGCATGGCATCGACATCGCCAGAAGCAGCTGCTCTTCGGCGATAGTCCAGCTCACATTCTCGAGCGATCCCAAGTCCAGCTGATCTCCAACATCTGAAGTGCCATTGCTCTGCATTCCCCTTGGCCCAAAGATCAGCGGCGTTGACATGGCCGCTCATTGATCCCAATTCAGAAAGCAGAACGTATTGAATCAACGCGGTTTCCTCATTGCTCTCAAGGAAATTCCATCGCGCGTCACTGTGCAAGGACAGCACATCCTCAGCTGTGCACTTCTACGGATATGCGGATTACATGTTACCTGCAGATGGTCAAGAAAATCGGAAAGTGTTCAGAGACGACGGTTCACAGCTGTATCAATTTTCTGATGCGTCACATGGCTGCTGGACTCCCAACCCTCTTGTTGAAGCGAAGCTTAGGGCTTAGACATCCGGGGTTTCAACAGTGGCATAGATCGAGCTGATCTGTGCGAACTACATGTCTTGGGCTATGGAACCTGCGCACAGCAACAACAACGACGACAACCATAATCAAAACAACAACAGCGGCAGCGACAGCAACGCCAAGAGCAACTGCAGAAGCAGGAGCGGCATGCAACAGCAAGAACGACGACGCCGACGACGACAACGAGAGGATTAAAAGCGACATGTCACAGCGTGACGAGGCCAAGCAGCAGGATGGAAAGACAATGCTACGCTCTGCAGAGTCGCTGCAGCAGTCCTGCAACTCTGGCTCGTCTCACCTGGGACTTGCAAGGATTCTGGGTGGCCTGTGTGGCGTGTTTCCACCTGGGACCGAAACTGCTACGAGCAACTGCAATTCATGTCTCAGGTGCTATTTCTGCGCAACAGCAGCGAAACTGCGTTGATGGCTGAGACTGGCCTCAATGAAGAACCGCTTGAGACAGGATCCAGCGAATTATGTCTATTGCAGTGCGCATGCAGCCGTACGCGAAACTGTTTACGGCTCTGTAGTTACACGTGAGAAGCTGTGATGGGAGCCGAGCAGCCGTCCTTGCCGTGCAGCCAGCCCGTAGTAACGCAATGCCCGAGCTTCGTTGGGAGCACCTGGAATCTTGATGTTGGACAGCTCTGGCACATTCAGCCCAGCGTAGGCATGCGCAACCCTCAGCTGCGACGATGTGAGGTATTCAGCGCTTCCTGCTCAGGCTCGTGCTTTAGAGTTCTTCATGCAACTTGATGAAACCAAGGTCTACAGCACTGCAGCATGTCGTGATCAAGCGCTGTCTCGAAGCATTTGCTGCGCATTGGGATCACCAAGATCGGCTGCAGCAAGCAAGTAAACCCCAGCAAGGCTGGCATTCCTGTCGGAGCCATAGAGGTGTAAGTAGTGCTGTGCCATGACTTTCTGAAGCTGGGGGGCGTCAGAGTCGCGAACTAGCTCGGCATAGCGCAGAATGCCACTCGCGTTTCTTTCTCGGGCATGCACGAGCAGTGCCGCCCAGGATGCATCTGCACTTCCATCCTGAGCAACAGAATCCAGCAGCATAGCAGCATGTGAGGTGTTTCGAGGCACTCCGAGATCTTCATCTCCATGCAAGAACAGCGCCGACCGCACATACTTCGCCGGCCCCCATCCGTCACGCGATCGCGCTAGCATCCAGTCTTGCAGCTCTTTTTTGGCCCGACGGGCTTCTGTGGCATTCCGAATGTAGAATTGCAAGGCACTGACATCGGATCCTCTGTCTTCGTTTGAGGCAGCCGTGTCGGCCACGACCTCCAGAGCTCGCAAGACAACGGGACACAATGAGTTTCCTGACCTTCCTGAAGGCTCGTTCGGGATCCTATTGATCGCTGGCACACTAGTCTGGCTTGCGGAACCTTGCCACCACCTGGTGGCGCCCAGCATCAAACCCTTCAGCATGTAGTTTGACAGGGCCAGCGTCGAGAATGCATCTTTCTTCTCAGCTCCGATGTAGTATGCAAGCAGTGGCCGATCCAGGCTCTCCGTTGACTCGGGAAATTGCGAAGCCCACTGAAACTCGATGCCACCATCTCGAGAGACTCTGAAGCGTGCGAATTGCGAAACTTCGGGCTCACCAAGTGCCAGGAGAGCACCCAAGTAGAAGAAGCACCTTCCGCAGCCTGAGCTGGCCCCATTGGCCACAACAGCAACAGCTTTTCTCCAATTCACGTTGTGTCCATGTAAATCCAATTCAACCTGGCTTTGCAGAGCCTCACAATCAAGCGCGGGAGCAGAGCCGCCACAGGAGGCAAACAGCAAGGCAAGCCATGGCCATGCAGGCGCCATGGGCCCTGAGAGCCGAGAAGAGCGCTCTCAGTAGGCTCTAATCTCACACTCGGAGCAGCAGGCTCAGACAATGTCTGTGCCTGTTCCACCGGGGTCCTTGAGCAAGCGCTCTTGAAATGCAGAGGCATGGGCTCTACATTTTGGTGACACTAAGAAATTTTAATCCACGTAAGGGCAGTTGACTATCGTTCACCTTCCAAGAATGGCTGGGCTTGATAATTCAAGCCGTAAATATTGCCTCGTCAATGCGATCTTTGGTGACAACACATTAGTCGTTGCCGGCGGCACTCCACAATGACTTAGAGTCCTTGAGTTTCGGATTCGGACAGTTGCTGCCTCAATCACATTACGGTTGAGTTGAACTCGCCCGCAACCACCCCTGTCGCGAGTGACTGGAGGCCAGTCCTAGCTCTGCATGGCTGTGCTTCTGGACAAACTGAAGCACCTCCACGGCATACGCAGGGACTCATGACAGCTCCGTGCATCGGCGCCTTGGCACCCTGTCCACAGACTAGACCCGGCTGCTGGCCTGCCCGAAGTCAGGATCCAGCTTTCGCAAACGTTGGAGCTTTCGGCCTCTCTGCCTGTCAGGGCGATACAAAGTCGACAACAATTTCAGCCCTATCTCCGAAGTCCAGTTTCAAAACATCAATGCTCAACGGAATCGGAAGCACTAATTTCTCCCAGATGTGGGTCTGTGTGTGTTTGTGTGTGCAAAGTGTGCATTCTGCTCGGGAGTTGGCCGAGTGATGGAAGCCAAGGCAATCGCTCTGCACGGCTTGCAATGTGCAAGCTCTATAATAACTTGACTAGTGGGCACACGAAGCGAAGCCAAAACAAGGAATAACATGATTTCCGTGCGCTTGACGCAGCGTGGACGAAAAGACGTCTTTGGCCTTTCCCGTCTGTCGGAAAACAACACTGATCACTCATTGTGCTCTTCGTCAGAGCCTACCAGAAGGCTTGTGTCGAGCATCGAGCAGTCCTAGCTAGTCCTGATCGTCAACTAGTCCGGGGACCGGCTGGGGCTCGGCATCCTCGGTTTCCAGGTGGATCTTTTCGCTCAGGCACGGCCTGCATGTTTTTCTGAACTCACAACGTACGATTTGCCTTGCTTGATGCAGCTTCTTGCCAGGTGTCGATGTGTGCAGCGGCGCGGGCAAAAGCGCAGTATGGAACTCTCGGGAACCTGTGCTTCTCAAATCGCTGGATGCCTACTTTGCTTACGTCAGTCAAGAGGAGCACTTCGGTGATTCACTAACCACTTGATGCAATTGCCAACAGCGCCGAGCCAACGGAAGGTTAAGGGAGGCCGGCTGTGTTCGTCTGAGTCTGTGCTCGCTTTCTTTGCTGTTGTACAAGTAGCTTGCTGGCTTAGACTGGCTTCTTGCTTGTCTACGTATGTAGGTGTGCATGTATGGATGACCTCATGCGGGAAAGTAGTATGCAACTGTATATATATATATATATATATACATGCTGATTTGTTTTGCCTGCATGTGTATGTGTACATGGGCATGTACACATGTACGTCTGTATGCATGAATGCTATATGCATGCATTGGGTGTGCATGTCTGCCATCTATGTGCGTATGCTGAAAACTGATGTGCATCTGTATATACCTCTGTATATACGCACAATGTGTACTGCCGTTTGTTCAGACGTATAAATACATCGCAATACCCCGGAAACATTTGGGTTGGAAAGCTCCGCAAACTCCAACGCCAAGAGCAACAATAGTGGATGAGTTGGCAGCTTGGCTCATGGAGCTGGACCTCCAACGGCACTGTGGGTTGTCCATGGTAGAAGCGATCAAAAGAGTTCAGAATGCAAGAGGCGCCCACGACATGTCGTGCCCTCGGTTTCGATCGTTCTTATGAAGCTAAGCTCAGCACAACCGTCTGCCTCAGGATGTTGGCCTGATGCATAAATTCAGCATCGCTTCGTTTGACTCAAGCCAAAGGATCATCAGGATGTCGGATACTTCTTCCTCAACTCTGACCGGTGCGAGTAGATTTGCTTCCGCAACTCGTGCCTCAAAAAATCCTATGACCCACCGTCACGTATCTCCGTGCGTTCTCGACAGTGTCACCACCATCCGTTCCACCGAGTGGCAGGAAAGATGTCGCGAGATATTTATCTTGAGCTTCGGCTATACGAAAAGATACGTAAATCTAGGGAGAGTTGTGACTATTTTCTGCCTCACAGATTTGTCGTGTCCGCACCCATCCGCCCAAAAGACAACAGCCTCTCATCCCACTCCCCACGTGACCAAGATTCCAACTGACTGCAAACCATCCATGGACCAGGAATGTGGTACCGTTTCAGTATCTTTTTGGTAGGATGCTGTTGGACGTCAGTATAAACTCGATACGCTTCCGCATGGAATGCAGCGGACTGGACTCAGCTAGGACGGGGTGTTGAACCCATGTTATCCAGACTTGAAATAATTACCGATGAGTTAAGCTTGCGTTGGAATCAAACTTGTACAATGTTTGTAGGTCCTATTTAAACCAAATTTCGGTACTTTATCCTGAGTGGACAACCTACCCACTTCGGCCAGAGAAAACGAATCTGTCCCACCATCTGCTGCCCTCTCCACTTTCGTTCCCCCCTTCCTCAAGCATCAGCAGCAAAAATGACAAAATACTTCATGGAGCTCCTCGTCCGCCCTCTCCCCCAACCGACATTGCAACTCCCGCCCCCTCAAACCCTTTTCTCGGGAACAGCCGCTCGTCCCCTACGATTCCTCGCGAGGCAGTAAGCTTGCTGCAAGTGGCCGGAATGGCAGCTAGTGCCGAACACACACACACACACACACACACACACACACACACACAGACACAAAAAAAACACACACACACACACACACACACACAAAAACACACACACACACCAACACACCAACACACCAGCACACCAACACACCAACACACCAACACACACACACACACACACACATTGACACACACACACACACACACACTTTGACACGCACACACACACACACTTTGACACAACACACACAACACATAGACACACACACACACGTTCACCAAGAGGGAATTCAAGTTCAGCTTAACCTGTTTTGCCTGTCCGGACTCTTGCTGTGTTCACTCGGCGTGTGTGGCAACACCTGTAACTGAAAGCAGCACCCACACAATGTGCAGGGCGTTTTAACTGGAGCTTGAGAGATTCAGCTAAATAAAAACATGAACAAGGAGTTCATCACGAGTAACAGTAGCAAGATTTCGTCAAGGTATACTGAGCTTCAAGTGTCTGACTTTGATGAGAGACCGCAGGTTTTCTCTTCAAGTAATTAAGGAGTATAACATGTGAGGAGTGGTATTTACCCCGATGGAGAGATGGTTGGTATGTGACGGCCAGGAAGTAGAGGTCTGGACGGAATGGTATAACCGCACAAGTCTGTCCATAAAATTGAAAACTACGACCTGAGTAGCTGCAGCCAGCTCAGATGCTGGCGACGTTTGCCAGGCCGAGAATGTGAGCCGCAAACCTGACGAAGCTTGGCGACATGTGTCAGAAGGAGCCGCAAGCATCCACTTGTGCCCTGCGACTCGCGAACCGATTCTTAGGGACTTGACAACGGAGTAGCACCGTTGGTGGCTGCATTCAGCGGATCGGCCTGAATACACGCAACAGGAACTGCCTGAATACTTCTTGTTTTGCGCACAGCGTTCACGCAGGAATCGAGCCGAGGTCTAGAGGCCTTACACGGCAAAAGCATCTTGCACTAAATTGTGCGCTTAACAAAAGACGGTCTGGCAACTCCGGCCTGAGGACCTCTTTATGCAGAATCTGTGATCTCCTAGATTCGATCATGTCGACAGTGGACATGTGATATGTGATTTGCTTGGCGAAGGCACACGAGCTTGGCACAGCACTTGCACAACCTGGCAGGTCATTCGAGGAATGTTGGCACTAAATCAGCACGACATACAGAACCTTTGACATGCTTGCCAACCCCACCGACCTCACGTGATCTGAGGTTGTCAGCCGTCAGCACAAACCGGCAAGAACAACTTGTTCGACTGGGTTAGCTGCACCTCTGCATGATCTCGTAGAACGGCGGCCATGAGTGGAGACTCACCTTCAGCTCTGGCACACCGGCTCGTGATTGAAATCATGGGTCGCAGCCATCGGACGTCTGAGCAGCGCGCCGTCCTTATTGCCGGTCGCAACGTTCAAGTCCGCCTGCTGGCAAGTAGTAGTAGCAGTAGTAGTAGTAGTAGTAGCAGCAGTCGTCGCCGTAGTAGTAGCAGCAGTGGTAGTAGTGGTAGTAGTGGTAGTAGTGGTAGCAGTGGTAGTAGTGGTAGTAGTGGTAGTAGTGGTAGTAGTGGTAGTAGTGGTAGTAGTGGTAGTAGTGGTAGTAGTGGTAGTAGTGGTAGTGGTGGTAGTGGTGGTAGTGGTAGTGGTAGTAGCAATAGTAGTAGCAGTAGTAGTAGTAGTAGCGGTGGTGGTACAGTTAAGGGCCTTGGTCACATCAGTTTGTGCTGGAAGATGTTACCAGTACTATTGGGCAGATGTGATGGGGTCACATCATGGTCCAATCACCTTCTTGCTACTAGCAGGAAGGGCATAAAGTTCAAAAGTATCGAGACAAGTACTGCGGAAGTAGAAAACACCACACTTACATGTCGCCCTGGGGCGCGTGAAGTCGCGACACCGCATGGTCACACCGAAGTCACACCGACGCGATTGAAGTCACATCACAAGCATAGCTGCACATCGCTTTCCGCATGGCCACGCGCTTCCTAGCACATGCCTGGCGCAGACGTCAATTTAGGATGTCGAGCGCCGCTCGCAGGCTGTCTTAGGAAATTAGGAAATCATGTCTTGGAGCCCGGATAAGTCGGCAGCTAATCACCTGTGCACGCGCTTTCAAACATGTAACAAGCGCCCGCTCAAGGGACACATCAATGGCATCATAGCGCACGAAGAGAACCAGCCGTTCCCCATGTAAACGTTCGTTTTCGAAAGCACCCGCTCACGACAAAAAATCGTAGAATCACAGCACTTCAAAACCAGCCATTCCCCCAACTACACGCTCGATTTCCGAAGCACCCGCTCAAGACACACATCATTGGCACCGCCATTCTCCATGTACACGCCCGATTTCACAAGCACCCACTCACGGTAGAAATGTATTTGTCTCATGAAGACTTGAAGAGAACCAGCCGTTCCCTATGTAGACGCGCGTTTTCGCAACACAAACAGCCGTAGAATCACAGCACTTCAAACCCAGCCATTCCCCAACTACACGCTCGATTTCCGAAGCACCGGCTCAAGACAAAAATCATTGGCATCGGCCTTCCTCATGTACACGCCCGATTTCACAAGCACTCGGAGCAGAGATGCACTTGTCGTTAAAAAAAATTCAACTCGTATGTTTTTCTCTTTCTCAGACTTCTTCAGACCTGTGTTTCTCTACAAGCCTATTCAACTCTGCATTTCTCTCTACAACCTACTCAAACCCGTATTCCTCTTCAAATGTATTCAGCTCTGTGTTTGTTTGTACAACCTATTCAAACCTGCATTTCTCTAAAAAGCTACTCGACGCCG